TCCTCCGTGATACGGTCTGTGCCGAGGAGCGACCGACTATTTCTGCTGGGTGATTTCAATGCGCGCGTTGGGCGTGATGCATCAGCGTGGACAGATGTTATCGGTGCGCATGGCATTGGCTCAGCGAATGCGAACGGTGACAGGCTGCTCTCACTGTGTGCCACTCACCGCCTGACGATCACGAACACTCGGTTTGCACTGAGTGCGAGTGATATAGCAACTTGGACGCACCCACGGAGTGGTCACGCTCACCTGCTCGACTATGTCATCGTACGTCAGCGTGATATGCGTGAAGTGCGCATGACACGTGTATTGCGAGGAGCTGAGTGTGGCACTGATCACAAATTGGTTCGGACCAAACTGTACATATATTTTCGTAAATCTATGTATTGTACTCCCGCCGTGAATCGACGTAAATTTAACATTCTCTCCCTCGGCACTGTGGCGAAACGTACTGAGCTGGAGAAGGCGATGGCTGCACGCCTGTGTGGTGATGTGGACTGTATAGCCACAGTGGGCGACCTGTGGCACCACATTCGCGACCAGGTGACAGCTGCTGCGGAGGAGACCATCGGGCGCGCAAACTGTAAGCGGCCTGATTGGTTTGATGACAACAATGTGACGATTGACGCATTGGTGTCAGAGAAGAATGCAGCATTTGCTGCACATGTGGCAGACCCCAGTGACTTGGGGAAGAAGAGTCAGTTTCGCAGAAATCGACGGCGACTGACCCGAGAGCTCCGTCGCATTAAAAATGCATGGTGGACGGAGAAGGCGAAGCAGATGGAATGCTACGCCGAACGCCGTCAACACAAGGAATTCTTTGACTCCTTGAAGGCGGTGTATGGACCGAGATTGGAGCCGCTGAGGACACTGATCGATGGTAGTTCAGGCGCTACCTGCACCCAGACTGTAGACATAATGCAGGTCTGGCGGAAACACTTTGACTGTCTCTTGAACAACCGTTCAGAGATCGACTGGCCTACATTGAACGGCCTGAAGCAGCACGATGTGAAGGCGGATCTGGCGGATACGCCGACAATGGATGAGACGCAGAGAGCACTTGCTCAGCTGCGAAACGGCAAATGTGCCGGAGGTGACGGGATCCCACCTGAAGTATTGAAACACGGTGGACCTGCGTTGTTGACTGCGCTGCACCACTTGGTGCAACGCGTGTGGATTGAGGAGGAAGTGCCTTCTGAGCTGAAGGATGCCCTTGTGCTACCACTGTACAAAGGCAAAGGGAGCAAGCAATGTTGCACGAATTATCGTGGCATCAACTTGCTGAGTTGTGTGGGCAAGGTGATTGCCCGAATCCTGCTCAATCGCCTCGTGAGTCAGATTGTGGAACCAAACGTGGCGGAAGAGCAATGTGGATTCCGTTCGGGTCGCAGCACTATAGATATGGTGTTTGCGGCTCGTCAGTTGCAAGAGAAGTGCAGAGAACGACACCAGCCTTTGTACTCGCTTTTTGTTGATTTCACCAAGGCATTTGATACGGTGAACCGCGAGGCACTGTGGCTGGTGTTGGGTAAGTTTGGTTGCCTGCGTAAGTTTGTAAGTCTAACTGAATGTCTGCACAGTGGTATGCGAGCGAGGGTGCAGCTGAGTGGAGAGACCTCTGATGACTTTACAGTTGTCTCTGGTGTGAAGCAAGATTGCGTGTTAGCTCCTGCCCTGTTTAATATCTATCTTCATGCAATGTTTTCTTGTGCTTTTGATGCGGCTTGTGCTTACGGTGTTCGTGTGGAGCACCGTATTGATGGTGGGTTGCTGAACATCCGTCGTTTCGGTGCGAGAACTCTAGTCTGTGAGACAACTATCCGTATGTTGCTGTTTGCTGACGACTGTGCGTTGTTTTCACACAGCGCGGATGAGTTGCAGCACATGACTAGTGCTCTGGCTGAGACAGCGACCAAATTCGGGCTCACCATCCACACAAGCAAAACTGTCTGTCTGTTTCAGCCTTCACCGGAGGTGCAATCTTCAATATTGCCGCAAATCAGCATTGGTGCAGAAGTATTGGAAACCACCTCCCGCTTCTGCTACCTTGGGAGTGTGATGTCGACTGATCAACAGCTACACGTTGAGTTGCGTAATCGCGTGTCGAAGGCAGCAGCGGCATTCGGTAAGCTTGAGTACCGAGTGTGGAACAACCATCAGCTTAGCATTGGCACGAAGCTGATGGTGTACAAATCCATGGTACTGTCCGTTCTTCTATACGGCAGTGAAACGTGGACGATGTACCGTCGGGATGTGCGATATCTCGAGCGGTTCCATCAGCAGTGTCTGCGACGTATTTTGCGGATCGGTTGGGGCGCCAGAGTTGCAGACACGGAAGTGTTGCGCCGAAGTGGGATGTATGCAGTGGACTGCATACTTTTACTGCGACACCTGAGATGGCTCGGTCATGTGAGCCGTATGGATTCGACGCGAATACCGAAACAACTTTTATACGGCCAGCTGAGTGTAGGGAGGCGGCATGCTGGGAAACCCAAGTTACGTTACCAGGACATGATTAAAGTGAGCCTCACACGTTCTAATCTTGATTGCAGATTATGAGAATCGAAGGCGGTTGATCGTGGTGCATGGCGCGATTTAATCACGAAGGCAGTTGGTGAGGTGCAGGAGAAAGCCCTCATGCATGCAGAGAAGAAGCGGCAAGTGCGGAAGCGGCAAGCACCGATGAATTGTACTCCATCGACATCGAGCGCATTGTGCTGTAGAACATGCGGTCGCGAGTGCCTTAGTCAGGCAGGCCTAGTGAGCCATGAGAGAGGTCACTCGGGACCACTGCCGAAGCGACGACGGGTCCCGCAGTGAACGTAGGCAGCACCGGCGCAGCGTTTGTAGGCACGCTGAATTCGATTTACTAACCGCGTGCTTGCATGCTAAGTCTCTTTATTTCAGGTGGTGGGTTTACAGTTTTTACCTTAATGCTTTTCTTTCTCATATAAATATCTCCCTGTACTCTATTCCATTAACTTGCACACCTCGCCTAAGCCAATTGTATTCTATTTTCGTAGCATATTTGTATACGTGGCATTCCGCGAACTATATTTCCTGACCTCGCGCACTTGGCTAGCATTTGTTTGTAATCAACTTATTACATATGCTATTTAATTAAGGTTTATATCACCGTTTCCTTATGCATTAACCGAGTATTTCTCTTTTTCTTTCTCTCTCTCTCTCTCTCAAGTGTTTGGTTGTTGTTTGATATCCCCGGTGTGGATGCGCTTGATGTGCATGTTGACAAGGTGCCTACCTGTCTATTACCCACTACCTCGTCCATACTGGCTCCGGGAGACAGTTGGTCGTTGCTGGAGGGGACGGGGTGCACGGTCCTTGTGGCCGTGTTAGGCTCGAAGAGTGGTTCCATGCAGTCAGTGTGGAGCGGATTACGGTCCAGCCACCGCATGCCCCATGCTCAGGCTGATGTTGCATTCTTGATGCTTCTTCACCGCAGTTGGGCTAAACCTATTTACACTTAAGCTAGGTCTTTTTCAGCTGGATAAATTTCATGCCGCTTTATTTGGTTTGTTCTGCCTACCTGAATAATCTTATATTAACTGGCCACGTTGCTTACACTAATTGCGCTTATCTTCGGGAATTTTGTTGCGTTTGTAGCATTTCAAGTAACTTGGGGACATTTCTTACTTATCACGGATTTGTTGCTAACCAACTTACTTCATATGGTAATTTAGCGAAGAGTTATGCCACCGTATCTGTATGCATTATTGGATTTATTTTATTTCAGCTTGTCGTTTAAAGTGAACGGCTGTTGTTTGATATCCCTGGTATGGTTTCGCTTGATGTGTATGTTGACAAGGTGCCTACCTGTCTATTACCCACTACATCGTTCATACTGGCTCCAGGAGACAGTTGTTCGTTGCTGGAGGGGACGGGGTGCACGGTTCTTGTGGCCGTGCTAGGCTCAAAGAGCGGTTCCATGCACTCAGTGTGGAGCGGACTACGGTCCAGCCACCGCCTTGTGTGCGGTTGATTCCCCAAATACAGCGTGCTTGTGTTTGCCTGTGAAGGAGTGTGGGCCGGCTCCGTTGAAGAAACGTGGTTTCCATCCGCATGCCTCCCGGTCTTATTCCTTCGGGTTTACACTGGATATGGGGTATGTGGTTGGAGCTGTGGGTGGTGCAGCGCAAGCCATCCATGGTCCCTCTGTAGGCGCAGGCGTCCTGTGGCTTGCCACAGTGACAGGCAAATCCGAAACCGGATGCCGCCAACCATATATCGCTTGCGTGCTGACTAGACTGTATTCTCAAGGTATACATGTTTGATGCGTACACCGCTAAACGACTAGGTTTAAACGGCTGAATCATTTGCTCCTTAAGTCCTCTGAGATATAAACAAAGCGAATGGGAGAAAGGAACGTAAGAAATCGGATAGCCACTTCACCAAGCAATCGAGCCCTGTGATTGAAGGCTCGTCGTATAGTTTCGGAGTTGGCTTTAGTTTGGGACCATAAATGTTGCTGTGTGACTCGGAATTCGGAAAATTCCTCCATTGTGCTTCTGCGGGAACCGTGCGAAAATTGCGATGCGAATAAAAATTTATCCACAGAAGTTGGATCAGAAAGATTAAATGCTCTAAATTGCGCTGACAAAGCTGGATCGAATGAGTGTAAGCGCGCGCGTTTGTGATGATGATTGTGATAGTAAATCCGATTTGAGTACGAGGCCGGAGAAGTTTTGTCCAGGGTCCGTGTGCAACACCGGTTCAGGTTCACGCTAAGCCAGTTCCTTTAGTAAGGTTAAGGTCTGTTTGTTAAGTCAACCAAAAGTAGCTCAATTCTATGCTGAGATTACATACAGCTCAATTCTATCACTGCGTTCATTAGTGTTAGTTAATAGATAGATTCGTTGGTGTCTACATGCAAAAGGTATCACTTATTTAGACCGACGAGTTCGTTATAGGCGACTCCGGCTTAACGAAACGATACACAAGCCAAATTTGTCATAAGACTGCAGAACAGTAATCTGGCTTCATCCATTCTTAACCCGTGAAAAATCGATGCTGTTAAAAGCAAAATGTGGAAGAATGTTACCAGAGTAGAAAAAGAAGCCGGATGGATTGTGTGTTAAGGAGAGAAAATAAAATAGCATAAGCATTCGTGCTAGCTTGAGAGCAACAAACGAGGCTACAAACACAGTGATTAAAATAACATGACAATTGTTGTTAGTTGTCCGCTTACCGCAGCTAACCAGTTCATTTAGTTCTGCCTTGTTGTCTGCACACGGCTGCATCCATATTGCTTTCCCGAATGTATCTTCATTAGTACTGTATTGAACGATTGTGCCCGTACCTTCACTACCCAGGGGCCCTCCATTCACAGCGTTTGTGTACTTCTGCTCCGGTTGTTCTGCTCTCTCGTGAAGGAGATCCCAGGCAGTGAAGTAGGTTAATCGACTGATTTGTACAGCATGAGGCTTTTTGCCGATGAACGATACGACAACCATGATCAATAGGGTAGAAGCAAAAGAGCCGAAGCCGAAATACATGTAATGCAGCTTCCCAACAATCAGTGGTCGCGTGTCCAACTCGCCACAAATTGGGTCACTGTAAATCACAGACAAGATCAGTCTGGTGATCCCCAGAAGTAGGCCAAACATGAGAGCAGAGAAGGCGCCCTGCAATAAGTATACAAAATCACATATCCGGTGTGAACAAATAAGCGATATACACTTAGCGGCGTAGACCACGTCTGTGTAACGTGAATGTTGAGGAGGAAACAGGAAGGGACCAAATAATTTGGGATCGGAAAATGCCTCTCTATGGACGATGTCTGCAGGTCCAAGTAAAGAAGTCGCAGAATATTTGCGAAATGTTGCTAAGTAGATGATTTAGCCGGAGTGCGCGGCTCACTCTCACAGACTTGCAGTGTCCTTTTAGCTATTGGCGAGTACCATTCACGATAGTTGAATAGAAAGCACAGAAGTTCCGGGACTAATGTTAATTGATGAGTTTATAGTGCTCGAATGCATTGGCTAAAATGCGACATGGTTACGCTGCGTGCTGGCTATGAAAGGATGTCTGGGTACCGTGCGAGGCAGCGGTGCGGGGAATTAGCTGTGGCGCCGTGTGCGTATAGCCCACGGATCAGACAAAGAAATTCACTACACGTGTTAACATTCTACATCGAAGACCTAAATGTAAAGTAAGACAGTATTTTGTTTTGTGTTTTGCACAACATGCTCAGCTAAACTAAAGGAATCTCAGGAACAGTACTAGTTCAATTATAAAGCAAAGTGATTCATGTCAAGAAGAGCAGTTCGAAGGTCGTAAAAAAGTCCCAATATTGTTGACGGCGCCAAAATTCTGTCGAATACTTTTGCCGACAAAATATAATTTCCTCAAGATTGACATGCCGGTGTTTCGAATGAAACTTATTAGTACGAAGTCATTAAACAGGAACAGAAAATGGACAATACAAAAGTGGCCACTTATAATTAACCGGCGTTTTGAGTAATCAACGAATATCGAGGCATCAGCTACCGCAATTCATGAATAATTATACAGAGAACAGGTGACTTTTCACTTTGATGCAGCGTATTAGATAAAATACTACAGAAGCATGTTATCAGTGTGCACCTTAGGGAAATAAGTTATTCGCTTGTATGAAGAACGATTGTGTTTGCTTGTGTTAGCCATTCACTGTTACGAACCTTACACACTTTTAACTGCGTTTGCATGTAGGCGTTTGCGCTTACTCTAGCTAAAAAGCGTTTCGGTATCCTATAGCTGTAGGTAATGTAGGACTTCCTTAATAAGCAGTCGTCCAGCTCATTTGTTCAAGTGTTCTCGGGCCTATACAACTGGCTAAGCAGCTACATTCCTGATTCATAAGCTCGAACATAATAGAACGTAGGTGATCACACTTAACTCTTCCGTTTCTGGCTATGAATACAGAAAAAAGCTGAAATCAGTGAAGTGCAGCTAGGTTAATAACTTTCCTTGTTTGAATACGCTATGAAAGCGGACTCCATTAGCAAACCACCCTCAATTTTAGCTGTTACAGCGGGATTTCTTAATCGAAACGACTTCTTCAGGTCTCACGATAAAGCACTGTGTCTGCTCAGTGTAGAAACACTTCCTTAACGGTTGCGCCCAAGTGTACACATGTTTTGTGTCCAACTACCAAATCTCAGTAAGAATTAACAAATAGGAGCCTTGATAGGTCATTACTGCATATATTGTCCGAAAATAGTGCTCACCACAAGTGTGTAGTGTGATGCGTGATCACTTTACCAATCACACCTACTTCACACAGCTATGCACAGAAAGTCTTCTGTACTCCCAGCCAATTGTGGTGTTTTGCAGGGAGCCATCCTATCCCCTTTTCTCTTCTCCGCCTAGGTTGGAAGTCTGTCGATTCTAGCAAACTTCATAGGCTATAAATATACTCATGACGTCACTTTGCTTTTCATAAACCCAATCAATGAGGAGTTTTTGAAACTGCAACGACTGTTAGACGAAGTAGTGACTTGGTCGATCTCCCGGTCCCTCTCGTTCAATCCATCCAATTGTTGTGACGTTACCTTTCCTTTTCTACATCCCAACAAATTCCGTTCCTTTGTACATATCTCCCCTCCCATGATTGTGGATGACCAAAGCATACCTCGCACATCTACCAAAAATATCTCGGAGTTTCCTGTCTCACAATTTCTCTTAGTCTGCACATAGTCCTGAAACATTAACCAGAGTTAGAAGGTTCTCTTTCTACGCCCTTTCTACGTCCTACTTGTCCGTTCGCTAAAATTATTTCTCGCTGTTCTGGGTTAAGAAAAGAATCGCTCAAAGATTTCATAGATTCAAAGGATTTCGAGGCATGCGACAACTTTTCATGCCGGAATTTATGACTCCTTTCATACTTTACATGCTCTCCTAACCAGCAAGATATCTATTTCTTTCACACGGTCAAAGTTCAACGTTTTATGTTCTCGTATCTCGTCGTATCGAAATTCCATTCTGTCCAATTTACCACGCTTACTAATCGATCCATCGGGAATGAAACAACGCTTCTGTGACCGTATGTTTGACCGGAGATACAATTTTTCGTTTCTTGCTGTCAACTGTCATTTCTCATTAACGCTTAGTTGTATTAGACTAAGCAATTTTAGTGATAAAATGCTGAAAATACACCTATATAGGTGGATAAGGTCTAGTTTGATTTGACAGTGCAGGTGAAGTCAACTCAACAGCTTCGTGCGTCTTGGTGGACGACGAATTGATTATATTATTTATTGCAGTGTACTGTAGTGAAGCGCACAGGAAAACGGGGCAACCAATGAGGGGTCTTGTACAGCAAATATATCCGTCGTTACTTACTAATTCGTTCGAACGGGGCCACAACACCGCTAACAAATACACGGCTGCAACCGGTGGGGCGAGATAGGCACTAACGGCCTGTATATAGAGGTAAAGTTGACTACCCTGTAGTTCTTGCACCAGGGGGATCCATCCAACGCTAACCAGCACCAGGAACACGACAAATAACCTAGAGAAACGGGTGAAAATTCAGCTGGAAAGCATGCCAGTGAGAAAGTACCAGGACGGGACAAATTAGAAGGTCACACACAGATAATGACATGCACGAATGCACTTTCCTAACAAGGGGCAACATTAAAAAAGCATGCGGGAATGATGCAAAACTCTATTTGTTCGAAATGATAATTGTGGTGATGATGAAAAGCTGCAACAGACTTTAGACAAAGTCATCCAGAAAGGATGTATATGTGGCATATTTTATGTCGTTTCTTAATGCGCGGGTCGAATGTGAGGTCACGGAGCGGTCGGACGTAATTGGGTCGATCGGTTGTCAAATCGGAACGCCGACTGCTTGTCCTCAATGTGCGCATTTATGGCCTGAACCAACACAACACCCCTCACACGATGACAGTGGTATTTCTACCTGGAAGCACCCAAAGAGTGGTCAACCGTCGCGACGAGACTGGACCTTAACGTAGTGCGAACGTCTGCATACCTACTTGACCCAATGTGCTATACTGCGTGGTGCCTCAGGGCCTCTTGTGAGCTACCTCTACCAGGTTGATCAATGGTGAGAGGTCAGACAAACTCAGTTTCCTGGTCCTCCAGATTGGAGGTCTGAAATGGGATGGCGTCCATTCCTGTGAAACTAAATAGTTGCCGCCTCCCCGCTGCCTTGCGGACAGGCTTCTGATCCAGAGGCTTTAGTTAAGGACCCTAATTGTCCTCCTGTCTAGGTCTTCGCGCCCTGGCAGTATCTCAGTCCACGTACAACCAGGAGTATTTCTTCAAACATAAACTTCATCCGGTATAGGCCGTCACGCAGATTATTAAGTGTCGCCCTAACTGTTGCATACAGCAGGTCGGATAAGCGAAAACATGCTACTACTGGCGCCTCCCCTTTTATTCCACCTGTTTCGCTCACTCCCATCTCCATCCCAATTAAAAACGCTCCGTCTGTAATCCCCGACTTAATTGACCGCAACCGATGTGCCGCCGGAGTAGAACCATCTGCAACCACCTTCCCGCAACACCCAGCGGATGCCTGTCGGCAAGAGTCCCGGATAAGGCTACGCCGTCCCGTTCCCTTGGCGGCGTTCAACGTCCGCACTCTAAGACAAATAGGACAGCAGGTCGCACTCGCAAGTAGGTTGGACACACTGGGATTGCTGCGTGCTGTGTGTCCGCAACCAGGATCAATGACCCTAATGAGCTTGTTGAATTAACTTCACCGGCTTATCCTCTCATTACTGGTTGCACGCATCCGGAGAGGCTGATGCACTACGCTGGTCAAGCTGGGATAGGTACCATTCTAAGCTCCAAGGCTTAGGTATCGTTGGTTCATTGGATTCCGTTGAACAGTCGTTTATGTGCAGCCTGTTTGACGACCTCGGCTAAGGTTGATTCCTAAAGTAGTACAAAAGCTGTCTGTTTGTGATTTGCGCTTATGCTCTCACCGACTGCAGTTCAAACGCTGTCAAGGACATATTCCATCACGAGCTGAACGCACTACTACGCAGTGCAACTAATTCAGATATCATAGTACTTGCAGGTGATATGAACGCGCAACTATGATCTCTTCAGAAGCTCAGCTGAGTGGTAATTGTGGGCCTAACTCCGAACGGACTGATAACGGCGAGCGTCTAATGCAACTGTGTGCGGAGCACCAGTTGTTTTTCAGCAGCACGGCTTTTAGACACAGTGGACGCCAAAGTGTCACTTGGCGCCCTCCTGTAGCTGGTCAGCGATGGACCAAAATTGATCACATTACCGTAAGTTACACCTTGTGTGGCTCCATGCTGGATTGCCGCTCGTACTAGAATACCTGCGTTGACTCTGATCATGCCTTGGTACGCCGTCGTTTCTCCATGAATTTTACCGGGATGCTTACCAAACTGCTCCTCCGATTGGAGACTGAGAAATGGTCTCAGCCTTCGGTCAGGCAAGCCTATAGTCACTGCGTACTGAACTTTCGCTATGTTGACCTAAGGACGCTGAGCTTGACTGGAATAGGATCGCGGCTGCCATGCAAGACGCAATAGCACTTGCTTGTGGTACTATCAATCGTCACCGCACAAGTCACTGGATATCGGAGAGATTACTGAACCCGTTGGAATCCAGTAGAAACGTTTCGGCTGGCTCTGAGCACAAGGTGATCAGTCGGACTAGTAGACGCAAACTAAAGTAGATCATGCGTGCTGACAAAGAAGGATGGTGGACCAGTAGGGCTCAAGAAATCAAGGAAGCGGGAGCAGTAGGCAATGGTCATAACGTCTTCCAGCTGATCCGCACCACTGGTCCCATGAAACCAGTCGTCAGTGAGAGAACCAGAGACAGCACCGGTGCCATGATTCACAATAAGGAGAGCCGTCTTTCTCGTTGGGCGGAGAACTTACAAGACCAATTCAGTTAACCCACTGTTCCCGGACCTCTTCCTACTCAGGTGATGCAGGACGAGCAATGGATGGTTAGATTAGAGCCTCTGTCAGATGCCGAGGTCCGAAACGCGAGCATAGCCCTCAATCGTTTTCTTGCCGCTGGCCCGGGTTCCCTCCCACCGGCGCTATTTAAGGATGGAGGTGATTTCCTCTGCAAAGCACTGACCTTCCTATTCCAACGTATCTAGAAGGAAGTGTGTAGGCTAACTGGAGGGAATCGCTTATAGTGACAATACACCAGAAGGGCAGTCGCAAAGACTGTTCTAACCACAGGGATATTATCCTAACGCCAGTTGTGACATAATTACTGGCCTCGATTCACGTTCGTCGCCTCACTGTGGAACGGGGATCACGGATTAGGGAAGAGCAGGCAGGTTTCCGCACAGGATGTGGCTGTATAGACCATATATTCACTTTGCGGCAGGTGCTAGAGCAGCGCCACGCATACCGCAGATCGACAATAACTGTGCTCCTCGATTTCAAGAATGCGTTCGATTCAGTATATCGCTGCATTCTGTTCGAAATACTTGTGCGGAAAGCTGTTCCCACGAAATCTGTGTACATCCTACGTACTCTACACTCGAACACTACAGGCCGCGTCAGGGTCTACGGTGCCCTGTCGGATAGCTCTCTGACAACAAGTGGCGTTCATCAGGGTTGTCCAATTTCCCCACTTTTGTGCTACTTCGCCGCGATGATGATGATGATGATGACGATGATGATGATGATGATGATGATGATGATGATGATGATGATGATGATGATGATGATGATGATGATGATGATGATGATGATGATGATGATGATGATGATGATGATGATGATGATGATGATGATGATGATGATGATGATGATGATGATGATGATGATGATGATGATGATGATGATGATGATGATGATGATGATGATGATGATGATGATGATGATGATGATGATGATGATGATGATGATGATGATGATGATGATGATGATGATGATGATGATGATGATGATGATGATGATGATGATGATGAGGATGATGATGATGATGAGGATGAGGATGATGATGATGATGATGATGATGATGATGATGATGATGATGATGATGATGATGATGATGATGATGATGATGATGATGATGATGATGATGATGATGATGATGATGATGATGATGATGATGATGATGATGATGATGATGATGATGATGATGATGATGATGATGATGATGATGATGATGATGATGATGATGATGATGATGATGATGATGATGATGGAAGAGTGGTCACGCTCACATGCTCGATTATGTCATCGTACGCCAGTACGATATGAGCTTACACAGTGTGGACCTAAGTGTGGAGATGGCCACACTGATAAACAATCAAATTGTACATGTATTTTCGCATATTCATGTACTCTTCCACTGTGACTGGGTAAAAACTTAATAGTCCTTTTCTACATACTGTTGATATGAGCTGAAAAATGAGGGGAGATCAGTCTTGATGACGTCGATAACATTAATTTAAGCACGACCTTATAGTTCTGACTAAAAGAAGAAGTGACCGTTGTCTTTTGGGCAGACCATCAAGCGTGAAAACTTTACGTGGCTACAGTGGCCTGTGAACAAGTGTGACCATCACCATATGTGTCCGAGCCTAATGAAATGTTTTCTACATATGAAGAGAACCTTGGCAATTCAGAGAAGATGAGTAAGTTTGGCAAGCTGCATTGGTAGCTGAGTGGACAGCTTCGTCATATAAAAACTACATGGTGTGCGATGTAGGCGGTGCCAATGGAATGATACAACGAATGTCGCCAGAATGAAGAGTTCTATGAGTTCTTGAAGGTGGAATATTGGTAAACTTTGCAGCCAATATGGAAGCTGCCAAACCCTAATTCAGGAGCTGCATGCGCACAGTCTGCAGATATCACAATGTTTTGGCATAGGCATTTCAATATCCTCTTTAACAACTGTCTAGCAAACGAATGATAAAATAGGGAGAGCAGATCTGCGGACGCCCCGAGACCACATGAAATTCAGCGAGCACCTCCTCGACGGCGAAACGGTCAAACTGCAAGTGCAGATGGGCACCGCATGGAAATATTGAAGGATGACATGCAGTTGACTCGGATATGTCTGTTGTATGGACGCAACTGGAATACCAAGACACGTGCATGGCAAACTGAGTACCGGTAAGCGAAATGTAGGCCAACCGAAGCTTTGCCATCAGTACATGATGAAGCTGAATTTGTCGGTGACTAATGTTGAGTTTAGGTGTTGGGAAGCAATGACAGTGAATCATCGTAAATGGTGCGAGCACAACGGTTACGTAACTGCTCAGGGGAACGAGAAGGACGTGCCGGAACAGGAATAAAAACACCGCTAATGCATGCGACAATTGCCAACAGACACCCGTCCGTCGACATCATACACCTGGTGCTGTAGCACATACAGTCCTGGGTGCTTCAAACGATCTGGTCTAGTAGGTAAACGAAGTGATCACGAGCAACCGACAATGAAGAGGCAGCAAGTAAGCTAAATAAGCAAGTGCCAGCCTGTTATATATATTCGAAGAAAGTAGAAGCCACGATTAAAATTCACGCACAATAATATGCCTCGACGGGGAGGCGAACCCCGGTCCACGAATTTCCGGTCCGTTGCTCTACCACCTGAGCTACCGAGGGCTGACGATTAGGTGCGCAAATTTTAACACATGTCTTC